ATACGAACCGCGGACGGTTTGCACTTGAGCTGTGAAACGGGCCCTGAATACTCATAGGAAGAATAACAATAAATCAAAGAACGCAGCTCTTTCTCCAGACAGAATGCAACTCAAAAGTGCTGAAACCACAAGCACAGAACACGAAGCCAGAGTTTGCGTGAAACCAGGCTCTGGTCGGGCGTTTCTTGTTTTGAAGCTCCAGTGAAGTGCACTTGATTCTTTCTGCTCAACAACAAAAAAACAAACAAAACAAAGCAAGCGAAGTTCAGGGACCGCGTCGGCGGCCCTCTCCTTCCCGATAAGCCTCCCGTGGCGCCACCGCTGGGCTCGCTGGGTTCTGCTGCTAAGGTCAACAATGAATGTATGTTCTTCCTCCACATCACCAGACCCGTGGTGGTGTTGATACTTGGTCAGCTGCGTTTTTTTTCTTCTGTATTTGTCCTTGTTTTTGTTTTTTTGTGTTGTTTTCTCCCTCTTGTAGAGACAGAAGACCTTAAATGGTATCAGCGGTTTTGGTTCTCACTGGTTTAGCTCAAACTGTTTTTCCGCCATCACCGGCGGTAAAGAAGAAACATGGTTACTGATGCGAAGGGCTTTCTCTCCGAACAAGGATCAGAGTGTTCCGTAAAACGATGAGCCGAGGTTCTTTTGACGTTATCAGCCGCATATATACAATAAGGAAACATCTTCTGTCGTCTCCTTGGACATTTTACCACGCCACACCAGTGGCCCTTCTTTGCCATTATCTGTAATTATAGTATAAATACTCAACAGTATATGGAAACATGCATAGTACTTTCTTGTTCTTGTATCTATACAAATATATGGAATGGACAGACAAACTTAGTTACAGTAGCAAAACAGCAGATTTATAATGGTTAATAGCAACGTTTCCGTGTACTCTATAATGGTTTTGTGTTACAGTACTATCAGATAAAACTAACGTGCATCATTCTTTTTTGTATATTGATATCCAGTACCAGTTTTGCTGTGCCTGTGAGCGAATCCTTCGCCAGCAAGGAACGCTGCAGTTTCTTTCTTTTGTCGTTTTTGGTTTTGTTTTTTTGTTTGTTTTTGTTTTGTTTTCTGGAACGAAATGGCTTTCATGTGATGAGAAATATAACTGTGTTAAAGTGGTTGTGAACTTCTTGAGGTCAGACGTTTGGGTTTATTTTTCTGGTTGTAGCGAATGGGTTTTTTCTTCTTCTTTTTCTCAGATCGATTCGTTTCACAGGGACGTTACGGACGACTTGCCTGTTGTGGTAAAATTCAGAGTTTTGGTTTGTGGAAACCAGAGGTTTAAAGAAACCACCACTATGGCTTCTTTTTTTTTTTAAACATTTTCCACTTCAGACTGCTTTCATGTCTCCCTCTCTTATCTCTTTCTGTCCTCCGAAGCGTTTTTGGTTGTCCTGATGATGTACTGTTTTGTAGAAAGTGAAAATGCTGACATCGAGAATCTTTAATTTATTTATTTACCACAGCATCCGTGTGGAACTGCTCTTTTACCATTCAAAGTTCTGGAGAGGTCGTAGGAGTACTTAACCTGTATGTGTAATTTTGTTGTGTATAGACAGCTTAAGATGGGATGTAGTGTCAAAAAGTAAAAAAAGGTGGGGTAACAGTAGGATGAGGACAAAGAGGGATCATGAATGGGCCAGTTTCTTTTGCCTTGAAAATACCTTTGTCTTATACCAACATCCTCCTGCTTTCTGTAAAAAACAAAACAAAAAGAAAAAAAAAAACTTATTGCATTCATTTGTTCTCCCATTCAACAGTGTTCATCAGTGAAATGAAGGAAAACCACCACAGTGAAAAATAAACCACAAACTACTTGGTTGAATGTATAATTAGGTAACAAAGTTGTACATAATGTAAAAAAAAAGTTTCTAATCATGTTTATTTTCTATGCACTTTTTTTATTTAAGTGATAGTTTAAATAATAAACATGTCGCCTTTAGTCTTTTCTGTCTCTTGTTTTTCATCGCTGGGTTTCTGCCTGGACTTTAAGCTTCCGATGAAGTTTCAGGATTTCTACACGGCCGTGAAAAGTAAGCAGCCGTCTCAAAACGTTTGCGATCGTGTGGAAATCAGGATGTTACAGTGCTGCAAAGCCAATGGGATTTTTAAGCGAACTGGGTGTTTACGCTGATTTAACAGCACAAGGGAACAGAGTTTCCATGCAGCGTTGTAAAACAAAACTTACACAGTCTTTAAAAGTTGCTTCTGATCGTTTTGATCCTACACGGTTTTGAAAAGTGTCGGCTGTCGTCAAAGCGAACCTCACTTCCAGAACCAGCTCTCCGTTTGAAGAGTCTGGACCTCCTGAGCCCGTTCCAGGAAGGTCAGCAAGGGGTCACAGCCACACCCGTCAGCGGCAGTTTCTCCTTTTAATGCAACTTGCACTTGGAATTGGGCTGAACTAGTAAATAGACTTCATTCTTTATCAAAACAACCAATAAAAAAACTTCCTGTGCTTTGAGCACATAAATGCTCTGAAGTTTTACAACCTGCTGTTCATTTTGAGCAGAGTATCTCCTCACTGTTTGCATTGAAATGTTATCTTCTTGTTAAATCTTTTAATTTAAACTAACTGTTGGATCTCAAAGTCTCAAAGAGAATGGAAGAAAGTTAATAATTTTTTCTTTAATCATTTCAGCGATAAATTTATTTAGAGGGACTTTTAAATGAACAATAAAATAGAAAACTCGGCACTGGTGTGTCATTGACTTTAAGCCGTCTCGTTTGGCTAAATTGGTCAAATTAGCGGAAAACCTTATGATCATCAGGTTCGTACGCACGTCCAGGAAATGACTGCGACAGAGCCTGAAAGTGCTGAATCCGGTGGCTCTAATGAAATCCATGTCCTAACTTCAGCTCCACCCCAGAGCCTCCACAGGAGCCGGCTCCAGCTGCAGCCTGGTGACGGGAACTCAAACCAGTTTCTGCTGGTGGAAACAGAGCTGCCACCCCATTAAACCAGTTCCACTGTTAAGCCAACCCATGTGTTTCACCTCTTTGCTCTCAGGCATGTTGCACCATAAGCTAATGCCCTAAATAGGCATGTATATTTAGGATCTGATCTACATTATCTCTGTAAAAAGACTTCTCTTATAATTTTGAGGATTTACCAGGTGTGGAGGCGATGGCGTCCAAATACTGGGTAAATACTGGAACAGCTGGGATCGTAAGAGTCAAGGCTCCCATATTACCATCGCATTGGCAGAGAGAATATGTTGCACAAGTAACTGTGGCCATTTAATAAACCATTTAATAAATCTGGAATTTATCGAGAAATGGATAAGAGTACTACACCTTACCAACTTTATTTGTTAAACGTTTTAAAGTAGTGACAGCTGAACAAAGAGCTGCACATAGTCAGAAACTATAAAGATACAAAATAACAGTCATGCATAAATAAGGCATGTGAACAATGAAGGATTAAAACATGATAGGTATTTTCCAGACAATAGCCTCCGATGTAACATGACCACTTTAACTCCTTACAGGGCAGTTTGGCTTTTTGACAGTAAAGTGTGCAGAAATTAAAAATGTCTTTTACAATCCAAAACAAACTGCATTGCGTCTTTTGTTTATTTTCAAATAAATTAACCGCAGATAAGAGTTTTGTTGGCACTTATTGAAAGTCACCAAAACGTCAGACCTGTTTCTAAAAACAAAAATGTTCAGTTCTGAAAGTGAAAAAAAAAAATCAGTTTTCTTCCACACAAACTTAAACACACCTGACTGCTGACTCCCCTCTGTTCTCTTTATCTCGGTATTTGTAATCTTACGCTCCGCAGCGTCTCCAGATTTGGCTCAAGTCTGGAGCTTTTTGGACTTGGAGCTGGATGATAGGAGCAAAGCCATGTTTTTATTGGCCTGCGGACCGAAACCAGTTAAAAGTTCAGCTTCATCCACAAGAAGATATTAGAAACTCTCCCTTTATCAACGTAACGCCACCTCTGAAGGATTACAGGGAGAAAAGAGGATTACAGTCCGAGTGCTGCAAGAGGGGAAGATGGATTTTTAGCTCGGGAGATGCTATCTGCCTCCAACAAATTGCTTAGGAGAGAGAGGAGAGCCTGTATGTCTCTTTCACTCGTTCTCGTTCTCTGTTTTCTCGTGTGAAACTCTGACGACATCTGCAGCAAAGCATTGTGGGAACATTTGCTTAGACCAAAACAAAGAATCTGTGGTCAAGATCTGGAGAGTTTCTCCATCGCCCATCATGCAGCAGCTCCAACATCCCTCTATTTATTGCCCTCCATTCTCCTCCCTTCGTATTCACTTTATCTGCTTTTCAGGTTTTTGTTTACAGATGTGAAAGTTTCTCCCATGTTACAGCGACAAACCTTCATGTTGTATGAGGAACATTTTATTTGAGAGATCTTTGAAAAACCATGATTTTCATCCAAAAAAGTCGATTGTGTCCAAGCCGCGCGTGGCAGAAAATTACAACTCCTCGAACGCACCGCCGCCATGGCGAAGCACGGCGGTGGCAGCAGCATGACGGTGGAAGCTCACCAGCTTCCATGGGAGGATAGATGGACGGAGCCAAGTTTAGGGAAATACTGGAAGAAAACAATGTAGAAGCAGAGCGACCAGCAAGCGAATTAGACCAGAATCTGCCTCAGACGATTTGAATCCAGTACGACAGAGCTTGAGCCTTTTTACATATAAGAATAGGTGAAAGTTTATTTCTGAGACATCTAAGGTAGTTTAGAGAGAAAATAATATGCGACTCTACGACGTATTTGCTCCTTATTTACTTGTGCAAAGGAATATGGTCTGTCACACAAAATTGACCACAGCCTGAGTCTGCCTTGTGCCGACATGTGAGGAGGAATGAATACTTTCGCAAGGCGCTGCATTTCTCATGTGTTTGTGCTGGACAGACATCACATATTTTCCTCCTTCTCCTCCCAGCCGAGGCTCCTCCTCTCCCACCGACTCCAGTTTTTCTAATTGGAAATCATCACCATTTCCTTTCGGTTTTTCCCAGCCGCGCTCTCAGGTCTGGAGGAGGACGACTCAGTTTTTATCACACATTCACCATCAGAAACAGCTGCCCCGAAGACTGCACTGCATCCCGGTAAGGTCGAGTTTCTTTCTCAAGCAGAACTTTAGAAACAAATAAAAAGTCCCATCTTGTGGTCTCTCAGCAGAGAGGGTATGTCTAGATGTGTTTTGGGAAAAGACGTCTGACCTTCCACTGCATCAGAAGATATGTTACACGTTTGTGCACGACGGCAATTTACATGTGGAAAACATCATTATGCTGCTCTGCCAAACTTTCACTAATGCCTGTGGCTCTGTGGTTTCTGTTTTGCAATCAAATGTGCTTATTTGCTGATGCAAGACACAAATAACCCTCATTATGAGCCAGTGGGCCTCTGGTCGCACAGTCATGAGAGCCCACTCATGAGAGCCCACTCATGTCCAAAAAAGAAGGAAGACAACAAGACTAGAAATGGAGATTCTTAGTGAAATCTAAATATGGTTGTAATTTACAAATGATTCTTGCAGGTATAGATTTAAAATGTCCAGTAGAATAGAATGAATTATTTTTCCTGGGTTACATCAACTTTGTTAGTATTTTGGTTGATTCTCAGCTCCCAGTATTTGTTGTTGTTAAACTTTTCTCTTTGTCTTTTTGGTCACTTCTGGTCAATTTGCCTCTATTTCCCTGTTTTGCACCATTGAGCTTCCATTTCATCCCTTCTGCTTCTACTTTGTGCCAGTAAACAAACCATTTTATACTCATCCCCAACATCAGTGTATTTTTCTTGAGCGTTAAATATTTAGATGAATTCTGGATATAAATCTTGCATAATTAAATCTAATTGTATAGTATTTGAAACATGACGGATCATGACCCCTGAACAAACCAAACCAGACTGAGTGATGTTCTGCTGCTGGTTTTTCTGTATGCAAGTCACATAAACACATTTTCTCAGAGTATCTATGATTAGATTACAGATAAATAAGTTGTCAAAGGTCCACTGAGCAGGTATGATGCACAGTGGGAGCAAAACTTCCTCCGGTGGTCGAGTGCAAGACAGTCAAACCTTTCATAGCCTGAGACGCTAAAGCGGTGAAATTAGCGAGAAGCTACGTCTGGAATCCTTTTTTTATTGTTTTTTGATTTTCTTGGTCATTACAGTCATTTTACATGTTTTAATTTGACATATGCACAAATGCACAAACACTGCCGTCACAGAGCATTGGACAAGATAGTTTATATCAGTTCATGTGGCGATGATGGAAGGTTCCAGTCTGACCTCTGCAGCAAACCCTCGTACTGAACATGCATATGGCGACAGTAGAAATAAAACATCTTCAACAAACAGGCCTGTATGTTTGTCGTTCTCCTCCGGGTTCCACAAAAGTTTTCGCAATGTGCTTCTCCTCACTCAGCTCTTTGTAAACAAACACACTGTTTGTTATTCTTCGCTCGGTTTACACACACTGCATATGTTTTCCTCCCACATACACCGATCTATTCATGGACGGCGAGTATTTAAATTTCTTTTTCTATTATTTTACTAATAAATAAGACAGCTGCTTTGACTCTGCACTGTTTTGACTTCTTGTCTGAGCTCCACTTGTGCCAGGAATGCTGACATGCAGTTCTTCGTCCCACCCTCATTTTTTCCCCACTGTTTCTCTCCTGTTGTTTTTCTCCCTCTGCTTCTTTGTGTGCAGCTGTTTCTGGATGTAATACTCAACGCTCAGCCGCTGACCAAACAATAATTTGGACTTTTCCCATGGTCAATAATTTGGTCAATGTCACAGAAACTTGCAGACCCTTTGATATTTTTTCCATTTCATTGCATCACAGCCACAAACTTTGGTTCCCTTTGTGTGGAAAGATCCACACAGAGCGGCGTGTAAATGTGAAGAGATTGGAAAATGATGCATCAGAGAAATGTGAAAAGTTCAACGTGGAGATTTCCTCAGAGGATCCCAAATAAAACCCACTGGTGGTCAGAGTGGATGGAATAACGGTTTTGAGCAAAAACACAGATGAATTCAGGAAAAAAAGTCCAAAACGTTTAGAAGCAACAAAAGTCTTAAAACTGGAGGAGAGGTTCTCCTTCCAGCAGGATAACAACTTGATAACAAAGCTGCAACATGTGGTTTCAAATTAAACCACATTCATCTGGTAGAACAGCAAAGTCAAAATCCAGAACTAGGTCCAATCAAGCTATCAAGTCTTAAAAACAAAACAATGTTCAGCGATTCAGCCTGACGTCGCTGGAGTTATTCTAGAGAAATGGGAAACCTTTTCAGCCAGGAGAGACATACCCCAACAGACTTGCATCTGCAATCGCAATGAAATGCGACTCTATGCACCACGCGCTTTCCAGGGTTTCATTTGCAACAAATGTTGGAAACAAGTTCCAATCCACCTCACAATTATTCACTCGTTTGCTTTGGTCGGCCGCACAGAACCCCAGTAAAATACATCAAAGCTTGTGGCTATAATGTGACAAAATATAAGGTGCTGCAGAGCAAATGTTGTCTTTATGGGATTATTAACCCCAGAGGAGAAACGTAAAAAGCCACTAACACAACTCTCTGCAGGATATTTTATAGAGCAGGAGTGCTGACTCTGACGTCTCCCTGGCAGACTTTTCTTCTTTGTGGCTCTTGCTATTTAGTGTTAAACATCCCAAAGAACATTCATTAGAAATACGGAAAATTGTTAGTAATTTTTGTCGTCCACATTTTTACTTGATCTTGTTTTAATGGCGACTTTATGAATACTTTCTGTCTTCCTGTTGAGGAAATGAGAGCCAATTAAGTCTTGATTTAAGGTCAAAGTGCCTGAAATGTCGACTGTTTTATTGGGAGATCCAATTATCTTATAAAATGTTCTCTCTCTCTCTCTCTCTCTCTCTCTCTCTTCCTCTCTCTCTCTCTCTCTCTCTATCTCTCTTCCCCCCCTGCTGTCATGAGGTTTAATCTACAATCAAACGTTTCCTGTGGCCTCGGGTTATTTTGTTTGTGGTCTTAACAACTGTACATCTGAGTTACTCGCCGTCACATGTGCGATTAAAGCCGTAATGCTTCTCCCTTTCCCTCCAGCCTCCATACGGTGCGATGACCTCACTCAGCCTGTTCCCCTGGCTATGCACCATCATCATCCTACAAGTCTGCTTTTCCAGCCAGCTGGAGGACAACAAGATCCCTCCCAGTCTGTGCACTGGTCACCCTGGCATCCCAGGCTCTCCTGGGAATCATGGAAATCCCGGTCAGCCAGGGAGAGACGGACGAGATGGGAGGGATGCCGCTCCGGGAGAGAAAGGCGAGAAGGGAGACAGGGGACATCCAGGTACTCCTTTTCCATTTATTACCGGGGTTTTCCCTGTTTCTTCATCTTAATGTGGCAAACTGCAGTGTGTTTCATCGGGACTTTATGAGATGAACCAGCATATAAAAATACTTCCATCTTTAAAGTTAAAATGTGATTTATTTTAGAAGTCAAAGTACAAATCTGCAGCACACTTTTCTGATCATTATTTGTGAAAAATGTTCAGGCAATGTTTGACAGGAATTATGTTTCCATACGGCAAATAATTAGCAATCAGCTGCTGAGGAGCAGCAGAAAAGCAGACGACCCAGCTGTGATGAAAAATATTCTGCTTATTCTGTGTAACTGAACCATTAATCAAAGGGGCGGTGTCCCACATCACAGTGAGATCATTTACTCTATTAAACATGCGTCAGAGAGGCGGACCCTGCTGGTTATGGATGAAGGTTGGAGTTCACTCCTCTGAAAAACTCAATGTCCAGAAGTATTAAATGATAGATAGATAGATAGATAGATAGATAGATAGATAGATAGATAGATAGATAGACAGACAGACAGACAGACAGACAGACAGACAGACAGACAGACAGACAGACAGACAGACAGACAGACAGACAGACAGACAGACAGACAGACAGACAGACAGACAGACAGACAGACAGATAGATAGATAGATAGATAGATAGATAGATAGATAGATAGATAGATAGACAGACAGACAGATAGATAGATAGATAGATAGATAGATAGATAGATAGATAGATAGATAGATAGATAGATAGATAGATAGATAGATAGATAGATAGATAGATAGATAGATAGATAGATAGATAGATAGATAGATAGATAGACAGACAGATAGATAGATAGATAGATAGATAGATAGATAGATAGATAGATAGATAGATAGATAGACAGACAGATAGATAGATAGATAGATAGATAGATAGATAGATAGATAGATAGATAGATAGATAGATAGATAGATAGATAGATAGACAGACAGACAGACAGACAGACAGAGACAGACAGACAGACAGACAGACAGACAGACAGACAGACAGACAGACAGACAGACAGACAGACAGACAGACAGACAGACAGACAGACAGATAGATAGATAGATAGATAGATAGATAGATAGATAGATAGATAGATAGATAGACAGACAGACAGATAGATAGATAGATAGATAGATAGATAGATAGATAGATAGATAGATAGATAGATAGATAGATAGATAGATAGATAGATAGATAGATAGATAGATAGATAGATAGATAGATAATCCTATATTTGGTTGTAACATGATAAAATGTGAAACGACTGATTACTGATCACATTTGTTCTTGTCTTCCTCTTCAGGTGAGACAGGAGAGCGAGGTCTGACTGGAGACAAAGGCTACCAAGGAGAGAAAGGGGAGAGGGGCCAGCCAGGAGAGTGCGCAGTGGCCCCTAAATCGGCTTTCAGTGCTAAACTGTCTCAGAGCCAGACTTTACCCCTAAATGTTGGGGACGCAGTCCTCTTTGACACGACAGTCTTCAACGAACAGGGGGACTACAACACAGAGACCGGACGCTTCACCTGCAAAGTCCCTGGCGTCTACTACTTTGCGGTCCACGCCACCGTTTACCGCGCCAGCCTGCAGTTTGACCTGATGAAGAACGGACACGCCGTGGCGTCCTACTTCCAGTTTTATGGCAACTGGCCCAAGCCGGCGTCTCTGTCAGGCGGCTCCCTGCTTCACCTCATCCCCGGCGACCAGGTGTGGGTCCAAATGGCCCTTTCAGAGTACAACGGGTTTTACTGCAGCACCAAGACTGACAGCACCTTCACTGGCTTCCTGGTCTACTCAGACTGGAAAAACTCTGCAGTTTTCGCATGAGACGTGTGTAAAACACAAGCCACTCCCACACGGGCAAACGAAAAACAGCTTTATTTTTACTTTTTCACTTTTCGTGGATGAGAAGCTCTGCTTGAAGAAAAATGAATTGGCAGTGAGGCATCCTGTCTCACACGGCTGCATAAGCCGTATTTTACTTGAACTGTAAATAACGTACAAATAATGACATTTAATTTCACATATGTTCCCACACTGGCTTCTGGAAAGACCCCGGCCTTCAATTCAAAAAGCTTTTATGCCATCACTGCACTGCATATAATGAAACACTAACAAATCTGTAAACCACATAAAAGTCTCTCGACTGTCATAATTTTGCCCAGATTTTAGCAGCAAATGTTACAGAGGAGGCCAAATTATTTCCTGAGCAAATTTAATGCAACATGTGAGAACAGCAGGTCGTTTTTTTGTTTTATTTTGTTTTTAGGACTTCTACGTATTCCTATGTCCACATTTAAACCTTTCCAACTCAAATCATGTTGAACCAAAGTCCAGATGGTTGGATGAATGTTAGCTTTCCCACCTCCAATTTTCCTTCTTCTTTCTAAACACATATGAACATGAGAGAAATCTCATCGCTAATCTTTAGAGTTTAGTACAATGTCTGTCCAATATTTGTGAAGAACAAGACTTTCCTCCAGACACAGACAGAACATTTCTGACAAATGTTTCAAAAGCACATTTATGAGGTCAGACACTGATGCTGGACAAGTTGCTCTATTAAATTTCTGCTCTATTTAATCCCCAGTGTGTTGTGTTTTCTTCTCAGCTGTTAGGACCCTCGCCATCAAGTCAGACAATTTTTCCTCAGACTCCGTTGATCTGTGGGGGTCCATTAGGGTCATTGTCATTTTCTTTTCACGTTCTTCCTTGAGTTGCCGTAATTGTCTTTTTCTGACGTCTTTTATCTGTTCAGATGACACCCAAACGTTGTTTTTTTTCTAACTGAACCAGCTGGACAGACTTTCTGCTCTGATCCAATGTTTGCTGTGGAGCAGTGACGAGCTCTGCATCAATCTTCTGGTTTTAAACACCAATAAGACGAAGACTTTGATAATAGCTGCTATAGTCAATACTTCATATTGAATTTTCAAAGAGTGGTCGTGGGGTCATGGAGAGTATTAGGAGTTACATGCGATTCCTCATTATTCTTTGACTCACACATCAGATCTTGTCTTCGTTTCTCTCATTCCAGAAACGTTTCTAGAACACGACATGGTGTCCTGAGCAGATCTACAGAACAGTATTCCTATTGCATTGTGCCCTTGAGTTTAAACGTCTGTGCTGCCAGTCTGCACAGATCATCAGTTTCACATCTGCAAGCTATTCAGAACGAGGTAGTCAGACTTCTCACTAAATCTCGTAAACACGCTCATGTCATCCCAGTCTTACACTTTCCACACTGTCTCCCCGTGGATTTCAACATGCCGTTCTTGTTCTCACCTACAGGAATCAAACTGACCTGGCTCCTGATCGTTTGTGCCAGCTTTAAGCCAAACACTCTGCTGCTTGCACTTTAAAACCCCAACTCCAGAACTGGAGGCTGTTCCTCGTACTGGAAACCAGGAGGGTCCAGGCTCTTTCGGTCTGGGGCTGAAGAGTTTGACCCATTAGCTTTGCTTTGCAAGCCGGATGAAAATGGTTTTCTTCTGCCAGGCTTTGATGTCAGGATTTCATTGAGCTTTTATTGAGTTTTCCTCAAATTCTTGAGGTCAGGGCTCTCTAAAGGTCAATCAAGTTCTTCTACAACAAACTCACTCATCTGTGGTTTTATGGACCTTCACTTTTGCTCTGGTGCAGAATCATGTTGGGAAAAGGAAAGAACCGACATCAAGCATGAAACTGTAAAACTGGCCAACAGCAGAGAGAAAATGATCCGATGTGTTGCACAGATGACACTGGATTTCACTGAGCTCTCGAAATCGACCCATTTCTATACAAGCGTTTGTAGAAACTTCAGGTAGAGTCAATGGACCTAAACATCTGGTAATGTGTAGCTCTACACGCTGCATATGTAAAAGTAAAATGGTGGACTGTGAGTCAAATCAACATTAGGAAATAAATGTTTCTGTTTCCTAGAAAGATGATCTAAATTCAGAGGCAATTTGGCAGTGATGCAATAGTTCATCTCATATTCAGCCGGTCTAATTTCACCAGATAAGAAATACAAAACTGAAACAACACTTAAATTGCACAAAACTAAAAGATGAATGCTGTTTGTGTAATTTTAACATTGCATTTGGTTTTATACAGATTTTATACAGATTCAGTCGGTAAAGTGAATGTACTATTTGCCCATGTTGTGAAGTAAAGAATGTAATTCAGTAAAATTAAGCTTAATAAAAATGTTTATAAATGCTATGGCAGCATTTATAAACAGCTTTATCACTGGTCAATTTTTCTATTATTTTTCATTTAACTAACAAGGTCTAATATTTCTTTCTGATTTTTATTAATAAGGGCAGACGACTAGCAAAGCAAATCCCAAAAGAGAAAAACAGGCTGGAAAAATATTCATTTTCTTCAGGATTTACTGAGTTTTCCACTGTTTTAATGACTCCACCATTTCACTGTGACTTCTTGGACTCACGAGTCACATTTAAAAGCTGTCATCTGGTTCGTGTAAATCTTTTTTTCTTTTTCATACCTGCAGCAATTAATTTTCTCATTGATAAATAATTGTTGATGTAGAAACTCAAACTCAAACAGAGTTCATGCTGGTCATGCTGCGTGACACAACTCAAATGTTATCCTGCTTTCTTGTCTCCCGCCCATAACTGAGACAGAAATATGCACTTATAATCGTTCCCTCCTGAACCAAAGGAAGTTAATCAATCTTTCTTTGGCATCAGTCACTTTTTCCACTGGTCACAACCTTCAAATTGCTCTGGAAATGCCACATCGTTGCCTGAATTACAGGGGTTTCTGGCTGAGTGTAAGTTAAGACTTTGACTCATGGATTAAAGGGATAAAAGATGAAAAAATCAGGGTGTTGAAAATAACTGGAAACACGTTCACAGATACTGGGATCAGGTGAATAACTGCACTAAATTTCAAATGGCATACCGGAGCTGCATGGTGCTAAATTATATTTAACTGTGCATTTGTGGAAAATACAGGTTTCCTCTGAAAAACATCTTCATCTGCTTCAACCTTTAAATGTAGCACAGCTGCTTTGATTTATTTGAAAACTTTGTTTCATTATGATAATGGAAAATCCTGAGTTTTATATCTGTTGTTTTGTCTCGGACATAGCAGCAGGCTAATTCTTTTACCAATTAAATATTAAGGCAGTCGTTTAAGGACAGGATCAGATAAATACCCCTTTAAAGCTTAAGAGCAGTTCACGATTACAGCTTTAGACACAGCCATCTTATCAACAGATGCACATAAGGTAGTTTCAGTCCAGTCATTTATGGCATAAAGGTTGAATCAAAGTCGACAATAAGTAATTTAATTTAATCTTTGCTACGAAACACCTGAAATGCTCAAATGTTTTCTATCTAAGGCAGAGGTGTCAAACTCATTTTCGTTTTGGGCCGAGTCAAGGTTCTGGGTGCTCTTAAAGGGCCGGTGGTGCCAGAATGTGTTGGTAAAACTCATTAGCAAATATTAAGTAGTTCCTAAAATGAAACATCTTTTCACATTGTTCAGGATTGAAATCACAAATTTCGCATCGCTAATTTGGAAATGTTTAAAAGGCATCTTGTTGTTTTCACATTTGTGTGCGACGTTAATTGTGGCTTTGATAATCGATACATCGATGACTTGACATTGAGTAATGCCGAGGCAGCGGTGTCGTAAAAGTGGCCAGTTAAATCCAGTGTTTCTGCCCATTTTGTCTGCTGATTCCGACGTGAATTTCCACAATCACAAGACACTGGGAGGGCTAGTTGATATAATTTGGCACCTGGAGTCTTGAGGGCCACACAAGAAGCTGTGGCGGGCCAGATTCGGACCGCGGGCCTCGAGTTTGACACATGTGATCAAAGGAAACCCAGAAACTCAGTGAATCATTGAGTTTGTTGTAATTCCACATATTGAGCATTAAAAAAAAAAAGAATCAGATTTTATGGATGTCTATCCAGGGGTGTTAGAAAACAAAGCAGAGACACACATCACACAGGCCCAGGAGTACTTTCTAAGTTTAATTACCTATGTTTAATAAACTACATCCACTCATTCACATACTGATGGTGGTGAAATCAGACCAATGAAGAACATTTTAAATACAATATAATTAAAGGTATGTTCAATGTCTTCTTTAAAGATGCTTTTAATCTGACAAACGAGCTTCATTCTAATGTCACAGTAATGAGGCTCATCTCATATTTCTGTTCCATCTTTCTTCAGCAGGGGGCAGTGTTGTGCCACTGCTCATCAACTAGACCACAGAATGAAAAAAGCCAGTCATCATGACTTCTGCTTTTACTGACTAGATCTCCTCATTTGTGTTTAAGGTGAAAACTTTGCTAGTGAAATGCAGATTGTTGTGGTTGTTTGAAGTTCTGCCAATGAATTTGACATCAAAATGTCAGTTTTCAAGAAGAGACATGAGGGGATTTCTCATAATAATAATAATATCTGCAATCAGATGGTTATATTTGAATAGATTATTGAAAAGCAATAGGGTTAAAAGTCAAATAGCTGATATTGTGTACGTATTATAGGTTTATAGTAGTATAGTTGTCTGGTATCTTTAACATAAAAAGCTCTAAAGCTTTAAAACGTCTGCACACATCAGCAGCAGACGCGAACAAGTTGCTTCAGCTGCTGGGCTCAGGTTGATTTCCTCCATCGATAACGGCTCATAGTTTATAAATCCGGATGTTTATTGTCATGCTCCCCTCATGTGACTGAATATCTAAACCTCGTTTAACCTCAAGAATATTTTAAGCACCAAATGAGTTTGGAAAGAAGAACTGAAACATCCTTTGGTGTTTTAGCCTGAAATGTTGTTCAGCTTTAACTACACTGGGGACTGAACTCTGGTGATCCAGGAGTTTGGATCCTCACTGGTTGCTTCTTGAACATGTGTATTAATAAAAAACACAAGATATATATCAGTAGTTTTGGAACATGCAAACAGGATGACATGAAGCTTCCTGAAAGGCATTGAGTTTAACCATATTGTAATCTGGAATATGTTTAAAAACTGATTTTTTAAAATCTGGGAACAAATCAATTCAAATAATATCTGCTGAGTCTGAAGCGAGGAGTGTTATTGTTGTTGTTTTGCCAGAAGGTTGTTGATGTCAGCAAAAAAATGTTCCCTGTCGATGCAGCTTATGAGAGAATAATTAACTAAATATTAATGCACATTGGGGGATATAATGTGTTTGACTGAGGCTTCATTGTGAATGAAGATTCACAACAGAGTGAAACCTACATTTTAAAAACAACTACTTGTTTATGAAATGTATTGAATTAATGGCCACTATGGGCATAATGAATGATTTTCCTGTGAACCATTTTACATAATTCACAGGAATATTATCTCCAAATTCAGATATATTATGGGATATTATAGATGAACTGGAAGTCAGTATAAACTCTGAGTTAAACTGGTTTTGATGAAGTTAACTCAGGATGCAAATCATGTCAAGTTTTTTCATGTCATATGTTTCAGCAGCAAAATGTTTTGTGCCATAAAATGGCAGAAACAAATAATGCAACAAGCAATAAAAATGACATTTCGTCAAACGCACATCAAATAAGTTGATCAAAGTTCCAGCTGCTGT